TCTGACAGGCTGTCAGTCTCAGAAATACTTATTAAAACGTTCTACATGTTGACTTTCCCGATGTGACACACGCACCCAGTTTGCGTCATTTGGAATCAGTCCTGCTGCTCTTTAACTAAGCTAGCAGAGCGTTCTTCAGTTTGTACATTACACATACATATTCTACCCACAATGCATGCATGCTTCCCAAACATCCACAAAACAATCTATATCTATACTTGTGAGCATCTCAAAGAGATAATGCATTCTGCAACTTTAACAATGAGTGAAAATAGCTAGTAGGTTAAACTGCACCATGGTCAGTTAAATTAATCTTTACTTTACAGATGTATCCCTACCTGTTATTGCTTGGTTCAGCAAAAACAGGGGAGTTCAATAAGTAATACTACATACATGTTCTAAAGAATGAAAACAAAAGTATTGTATTCTTGGAGCTGCATCTGATTAATAACATGATTTGATTACTAATATACGTTGTTTTTTTTACTGCAATTTAAATAATAACCATTTAACAGGCCTACGCCAAGCTGCTGTGTGTTTCTTACCATTTGTGCTTCTCTCTTCCTCCTCTGTGGGCTTTCTTTTCTTAACCTGCTTGTGTGTTTACCTTTTCTACCTTTTCTCTTTCCCTTTCTATTTCCCAACTTCAAGTCTCCAGATGAGATAGATATGATGGTAAGCTCACTTTAACCTCCCGCTTTTTTATCCATATCATCCATCTTTCCATCCTGCTGCTTTCTAACCATCACAGTGTCTTACTTCCCCACCTGGCCATTTAAAAAATGTCTTTGCAGATGATTGTCAATGAGCCTTTCAGTTATTGGTATAAACATGTATTGATCATTTTCTATTCATTTCTTTCCACATCTCCCTATCTTCAAGGTGTCATCTGGTTTTATTATCCCTTCTGCCATTCCATTGAAATTATACATATATGTTTACCTTTCCTTATCCATCCATCATTTAGTGGGAATGCTGATACAGCATTCCAACTATATGTTATGCTACGGACAAAAAGTTTATTATTATTATTCCGCCGACTTATTTTGGCCCTCTTCTCCTCCCACATTCAACATCGCAGACACTCCGTTCAAACATCAAAACGTTCAGCTCGGTCGGGAATCGCAGGCTATTACTTTTCTCATTCATAACTTTCATAATTCCAGAGATACATCCCATAATTCATCACATTTTTAACCATTGAAGTCAATGGAGATATTCTTCAGACTTCAACAAATCTTCATGCGACTTCAACTGCTAACTGTTCATTCATACTTTCACTCAGAAACCTCATTCCAACTTTAAAATGTTACACATCTTTCTGACATTATTTGTGTAACACAAATCTGATTCTTACTTTTAGAGATATTAAACATTGTTCAGACCTTGTTAAAGAGGTTTTCTTCAGATTTTAACATTAACTAGAGTGCGTGATGTCACAGCTAGAGTGGAGCAAATCTTGAAATTTGCCTTCATATATTTTTTTTAAACTGCCATAATTCCCAAATCCTACATTCCTGAGACATAATTTTTCATGACAAACGTAGGAAAACATCTCGTAGCTTGAAAAATGACAAATAATTAAGCAAAAAATAATTCAACAAAATGCCTCTTGAGGGCATGAAGTGACAAAAACGTTCAACATGTCTCCATTAAAACCCATTGTAATTTCAGGCTGATATTTCCTCACAGCAGCAGCCGCACACCTTTAGTTAAACTGCCAAAAAGGCCACATTATTAACCCGAAGGTACACAAAAATTACACTTCAGATACTCAACTTCCTTGACATGCTTCACGTTTTGAAATTTCACAGATATCTGTTATCGTTCTTCCACAAAACGTTCACATGTAAGAGGTTTATCTCTCATTCAGAACAATGCAAACCTTTGATCTCTTCAGAGCTCGTTAGCTCAACTATAAACACCTGTGTAATGGAACACGATGATGTCATCACTCCAACTGACGGCAGTCAGTTCTAACTGTTCATTTCTCACACACACACACACACACACACACACACACACACACACACACACACACACACACACACACTCTCTCTCTCTCTCTGCCACACTCTCTCTCACACACAATGTAACGGCCCAAAACTTCACAGGTTTGGTAACGATGCAGCCATCAACGCATCTAAGCGTAGTATGGGGTGTCATCAAATGCCGTTGCCATGGCGACAGACCACTCGCCATGAAACACGATGTCGCTGTAAGTCCAATGGACACGGTCCAATCGTCCCCCAATCTTCACTTGTATATCACCAGTCCATGCCTCAACAGCTCTACGCCAAATCTGAAATCTCACCATATGCCGTTTCCATGGAAACGCATCCCTCGCCATAAAACACGATGTCCCTTTAACTCCTATGAAAATGTTCAAAAGGTGCTCAAAATTCACATGTGTGCTAACAGTCCAGCCGTGAAGACATCTACGAGACAGTTTTGAGATTTCTTCAAATGCCGTTGCCATGGCAACACAATGCTCGCCAGGAAACACGGTTTTCTCATAACTTCATGAATACAATGTTTCCCGCTAGCATGTATAGCTAGCCTCGTTAGCTATACATGCTATCAGCGTCGGAGGAAAGCCAACTGTAATGTACCGTCCTTTGGGGGTCTGTGAGCGGGCAAAGAGAGGGGATTTCCCCGTTGTCTCTGCTGGAAGTGTGAAATAAACAGAGTCCCCATTTCAGGGACACCTCTTGGAGGTCTCTAGGCCGTCCTTTGGGGGTCTGTGAGCGGGCAAAGAGAGTGGATTTCCCCGTTGTCTCTGCTGGAAGTGTGAAATAAACGTAGTTCTTTGATGTTAGTCAGCTTGCCAGCTGGATTACAATGCTAATCTACGTTTGCTAGTTGTTCAGTTGTTCAATATGCTATACTATACTATGAACAACAGATAGTGGTTCATATTAGGCTGTCAAGCACATGTTTACAATTGCAATCTTATATGGGTAGTCTGCTACATTCATTGTAGCTGGCATAAAAACAATGTTTTTCCCAGCAAACTCATGTCTAGCTCTTAGTAGCCTTGTTGTTTAGCTCGGTAGCATACACCCTCGGAACGCCAGCTATAATGTAATTACGTTTCGCGACTGACCGTACGGTAAATCACCTGGAGTATACTGTCTATGAGTATTTCGTGTGTGAATGCAGACATTCTCCTGCTATGAGATACATGTATGTAAGGCCATCTGCTGATATTAGAGTTGATATGGAAACGCTAGCAACTTAGTTAGCACAGTTAGCACTGGCTTAGCAGTCCGAAACACGCTTACACATTTAAACAGTCGTGGTAGATACCTTGTTTGATAAATACACAAATAACAATGCAAACTTGCAGGTTGTGTACCCGAATCTTACCCTGCTCCAAACGGTCCAAACAAACTAGGAATAGCATCGTCCTTCAGTTTCAAATGCTGTGCATATCCGGCCTCAAACTGGGCAATGTTTTGGAAGCTTTCGTCTGTGAAATGCCGCGCACACAGTAACGTTCTTCGAACCTCTGAAGGAACAGTGTTAAAAAGAAATGTCAACCACTGACTTCATCGTGGTTCTTCCGTCGGTAGGACAAACAGCTCAGATTTCTCCTCACATTTCAGGAAACAGGTCCTTGGCATTGGCATGACTGGATCGATTGTGAACTGAACCAGAGCTTCCAACAGTAAATGTTAGGCTGGCAGAGGGTGCGGCCAGCGCCGCTGGGTGTGGCCATAGCTCTTCCGGATTGGTCCATTTTGTTCCGGGTACCGCATGACATCATGCCGTACCCGGAAGAATCAAATGGGCAGTGACGTATCTCCAACGAGGCGTTTTGGGGAGGTATTTTCTGTGTTAGAGTTTTACTCGCTACAGGGTGTACTTTGAGGGTTTTGACTCTGCACACCGTTTACATGCATAAAAACCTTCATAACACACAAGGGGACGGGTAATAACCGGAAAAGCATGACATGGGCCCTTTAAACATTACATTTCAGCATAGCAGTTTCGCGTCAGATTTTCAGCATAAAGCATTCCCACTAGCAATTTCTTCAGGAATTGCATTCTCTAGTTCCTTCTTATTCTTTCTTCTATGTCTATGTGTCCTGCATGCATCTTTCCTTACTGTTTGTCTTTTATTTGTCTATCGATCCAGTGTTGTATATAAAAACATACATAAAGGACATTATTATCATTAAAAGGCAACCATATTTTCCCTTTTTTTTCAAGAAACTTTGTTGCTCCACATGCTTGCTCCACAGTGTACAAATCCTCCACAGTGTACAAATCCTCCAACCCAATCTGTAGTTGTTTTGGATAACTTGTTGTGTTTGTGTGTGACCTATTACATGATCTTGGAGAATCCCGTTTTAGTGCTATAAACAATATTGTGTAAAGAAAACTTTAAATTGTGAATACCAAAAGGTAAACAAATGTTGGAATCAGATGTCCCTCCCTCCCTCCCTCCCTCCCTCCTACTCACACACTTTTTGTTGCCCTCCTCAGACCTACAGTATGTAGCCCACACTGTTGTATCATGTTGTGTAACAGAATACTATTACTACTGTAAGTGAATGTAATTACTAAGATTTGAACAAAAAAGTTCATTATATCTTAAGCACACTTGACTGGTCTTCTACCTTATAGGGAGAATACGTAGTATTACAGAGAGTTTAATCCCCTGTGTGTGTGTGTGTGTGTGTGTGTGTGTGTGTGTGTGTGTGTGTGTGTGTGTGTGTGTGTGTGTGTGTGTGTGTGTGTGTGTGTGTGTGTGTGTGTGTGTGTGTGTGTGTGTGTGTGTGTGTGTGTGTGTGTGTGTGTGTGTGTGTGTGTGTGTGTGTGTGTGTGTGTGTGTGTGTGTGTGTGTGTGTGTGTGTGTGTGTGTGTGTGTGTGTGTGTGTGTGTGTGTGTGTGTGTGTGTGTGTGTGTGTGTGTGTGTGTGTGTGTGTGTGTGTTGTGTGTGTGTGTGTGTGTGTGTGTGTGTGTGTGTGTGTGTGTGTGTGTGTGTGTTGCAGGCTCAGCAGCTACAGAAGAAAGATGCTCAGCTGAAAGCGTTGGATGCTTTCTACAAGGAGCAGATGGCACAACTGGAGAAGAGGGTACAACACACACACCAACACACCACCATTTATTAGATTCTTTCACATATTCCCAAAGTTGCACACAGAACTATAGACTTGGAACTTGGACAGACTCAGCTTTGTGACACACATAAAGAAACACCCTCAGACAAATGCAGGCACTGTGCATACGCTATTATTGTCCAAATTATTTGGGAAAGTTCACCCACTTAGCACACTATAACACTGAAAGTGGACGTAACTGATCGATAACTTTTGCAAAATGAATGGCATTGGCTGTCTGACTCCTGTCATTCACATCTGCAGAAACATACCCTGTAAAAGTATCACTGTGTGACATTAACATGGTGGGTTGTTACTAGGGGTGTTGAAAATAATCGTTTCTACGATGCATTGCGATGCGGACGTGGACGATTCGGTATCGATGCAGTGACGAAAGATAATCGATCATAGCGTAGTAACGTTGCTTCCTGATTTTCCGGCCGCGGCTTTACTATAACGTTTTTTTATATATTTGTAATATCAAATCGGTCGGTGACGCAGAGATCAGGGAACAGACGTGACAGCGGCACAGCAACACCAAACACGGAGCAGTCTGCTTTATCCACCAACACAAGAACACCAGTCCAGAACCAACAGCAGAAGGACCCGCTCTGAATCACTCCATGTCGCTGCGGCTCAGAGACACAAGGATTTATGTTTTTCAAAAATAACCACTTTACAATCATGTCAGGTTTTTGGTGGATTTAATTAAGTCTTGGATTGCAGAGTATGAATGTCCTCTAGCAATTTTCAGACGATACATGTGTAAAGTTTGTGAAGGCAGGAGGAAAAAAGCTTCCGCGATCACCGTCTCCTCTCCGTTCCTCCAAACCCCGCCCCCTCCCTGAAAATAATGAGTGACAGGCTGATAGTGACCCAATAGAGACTTTATTATTCACTTAATCACTGATTGAGATATAATGAAGCTAACTTACTTACATTCATGGGATTTATGTAACAGTAAAACAGAGAATGTAAGTGTGCACCCACATGCACTATTTTTGTTTTTATATGCTGTAAATACTCCTGTTGTCTGCTGTGTTCAGACTCAAGTCCTGTGTGTGATGCCACATTCAAGACATTCAGTGTCCTTTTTTTAACAGAAGACCGTTGCTAGAAGCTGCAGCTAGACTGCAGAAGCATTATTTTTTTGTTTTTGAGGATGGAACAACTTCCCACACAGATATAGGGAGGCTAGACCTATACAATTCATTTATTTTGGTTTATAAATTAATGTCAAGACATTTTATGTTATTGATTTCTGAAGCACTTTCTAAATAATAAAAAGAGAGTTCATATGTATTTACTAGGGCTGTCAAGTTAACGCGTTAATAACGCGTTAACGCAAAAAAAAATTAACGCCACTAATTATTTTAACGCGATTAACGCATGTGTATTTTTTGTCCTCGGCCGCCGTAGTTTCAGAGCGCATCGAGTTTAAAATACCATCTACATGCTGATGCTGTCAGCCCCGCTCCTGCTGCCCGCTTGTGGCAGACCACACTTCCACGCTCACCGGGAGGCCCGGACTGGCCATCGGGAGGACCGGGAGGGAGTGTGTTTGTGTGGCGCGACTCGCGCGAGCGAGGCACACCTTACGTGTTGTTGTTGTTGTTGTTAGCATCTGGTGCTAGCTAGCTGCGCTAACGGATATAAGGAGCTGTTTCAATGACATTTCGCCGACAACTGCGCCGAGCACTTGACTCTATGCAGGTAGCCAGACAGTGGGACATTGTACGAAAAGTCAGCACACTCAGCACGGATAGTACGCGCAACATGATTGCAGCGTCCAGGCAGCTCCCATTCGAGCATATATGCCTTGAGCTGCACATAGCTCCAACGATCTCCACACACACACACACACACACACACACACACACACACAGTATTATTGTATGAGAGAGGTTCCAGGTTGAATTGAGGCGAATATTTGTAATGTTCAGGTTGTTGTGTTTAATATTCATGAGAATATTTGTCATTGTTCAAATGATAATAAACAAACATATAAAGCATATTTGTCCACTCATATGTTGATAAGAGTATTAAAAACTTGAAAAATATCCCTCTAAGGTACATTTAGAACAGATAAAAAATGTGCGATTAATTTGCGATTAATCGCGATTAACTATGGACAATCATGCGATTAATCGCGATTAAATATTTTAATCGACTGACAGCCCTAGTATTTACTGCATGTATGCATTGATGAAAAATAAGCCATTGAGAAAATTGAGGATGCAACGCATTGGTATGAATCGTGATGAATCGTGATGCATCGGGATATCGAATTGAATCGAATCGTTGACAGGATAATCGTAATCGAATCGTGAGACCAGTGAAGATGCACAGCCCTAGTTGTTACCAAGCTATTTATTGGGTTTTATTGCATGCACTTTTTCTGTTTAACATAAACTGAAACTAGCCAAAAAAAATAGCAAGATCCTACAAAGATCCGTCAGCACAAGGTGTGTCGGTTAAAAAGGAAACACAGATTCTAGCTAACCTGAGCGCTTCCACAGAGCCCTCACAAACCCTTTCATCCCCTTTCATCTGCCCGGCTGACATTTAGCAGGCAGGAAAGGTGTGGAAGCCTCAAGTTAAGTCTCAGCTGCACAAGATGGACCGGCTCTCTGAGGGAAGTGCTCCCCTAGTTCTTAGATGGAGAAGACCTTTGCAGGACATTATGTGTAAAATCAAGGGCTGCATCTCACTTCGGTTAAATGGATTCCTTGCGTCCCTCACTTGCGTCGTTTCGCAACTTGCGACTAGTCCCTCCCACCAGGGAAGCATGGAGAGACGCAAGGAAACCACGAGAAGCAGGGAAATTAGTTTTAAGAGCAATGGGATGTCCTTTCCTCCGGAGCGTCACGTGAAGCGACGTCTGTTTGTAATGACGCCGCACAGCTGATCGTCTGACAGCAGCCAGATCAGTTCATGCGCTGCATCGTCCAATCAGTGAGCGATACACAGTAAGGGGGCGGGGCGAGTGTCTGAGGATTTCACCGGAGGATGGTCTGGTAGTTCCTCGATTATCGCTCCTCCGTTATCGCTCCTCGCTTCTCGATCCTCGATCCTCGGTCCTCGGTCCTCCGGCACAAATAAGGCCACTGGGACACTACTCAAGATGGCGCAGACAAATCAACTTCCGGTGATACCGAGGAGCGAGGAGCGAGGAAATGAAAAATAAGAGAAGTGAAACGCACCCTAGGTGTTATGCTCTGTTTACCATGGCTAATTGAAGCATGTCCTGCAAAATGAGTGTTCGGAGCAGATGGAGTCACACGGGCCATGTGACTGCCATCCCTGCAGTGCAACAGTTACCCTCTGTGGGTCATATGTTTGTAGCTTTGTACCGTTTAGAAATGATAATACCAGTGTTAAGGAAATAGTACCTTTTGAAAGAATACCAACACCAACAGAGTATTTCATTTGCCTTTCTTTTTGTCTAACTCATTGTAACCCATTATGGGAATACAGTTTAATAAAAGGCCACCACCTCTCCCTACCATCAAGATATTTCTACAAATATACGAATACAAGTGTTGAAGTAAAAATGTATTTGATTTAAAACACACACAAAACTTAACTTCACAGACTGTATGCGTTTTATCAGCTGAAGCAGTGGGCTAATCAAGGTGACGTAACATTACATTAAAAAAAGTTACCAATATTTTTTTAATGTACTGATACCTAGCCCTACTCAATCATACACTCAGCCTTTAGAGGGGTCCCATTTTTCTAATTTCAGGGTCATATATTTTGTGCCTCTATAGAAGTATTTACATGCTTTAATGTTCAAAAGGTCTTTATTTAGTCTCATACTGCCTGTGCTGCAGCACCTCTTTTCACCCTCTGTCTGAAACCAGAGCCCAGCTCACTCTGATTGGTTAGCTGGACGGCTCTGTTGTGATTGGTCAGTTCATAGATGTCCCACCCCTCAGCCTATCACGTACAATGTGTAGGAGCCCTAGCCAAAAGGAGCTTGAGTGTTACATAGGGATATCATTATGTTACTGAAGTAAACAAAGGAGTCCAATGTAGGCGTTTCAGGCAGGGGGGGAGTGTGTGTGGGAGAGAAACTCCCTTTGGAGGGAACTTTGTGATTTTAGCCTTCGGAGTCTATTTACATGCACAACAACCTATATTAACCCCCCTCAAAGAAAGGGGAAAGCTTATTTATTGTCTTTTCTTTTAGTGTACGTACAGGTTCATTTTTTTGTTAATTCCAGAGTACTGTTGGAAAATTGAACTAAAGATAATCTCACAGCAGGTTTGGAATAAACCGTGTGCATATGTGCATGTCGGTTGAGTTTATATTTAGTGTCTGCCATAAGCTACCATAAGCGGATAGAGTTGTTGGAAGCCACTGACTCGAGCAATGGGCTTTTTTCTGTTTGGCTAAATCTGAAGTTTGGGCTTTCTGAAACAAGTAAATGGTTTGCTTCTTTCTTTTTTTCTTTCTTTTCATGCTTTCCCCCATGATTCTATTTCCGTCTTCTTCCATTGACAGGTTTACAGCATCATAACACAACATCTGTATTCTAATTATCATGCATGCAGCCTAAATAAACATTGATTACCTCAATGAATATTCTTTAGACACACACACACACACACACACACACACACACACACACACACACACACACACACACACACACACACACACACACTGTCTCTCACACACATACATTCATTTATTAGATTCTTTCACATATTCCCAAACTTGCACACAAAACTATAGACTTGGAAATAGAGGGGGGAACGCAAAATAGGAGAAAAATCTGTAAAGAGAAGCAATATTAAAAGAGGGAAACAAATTAAGAAAACATCTGAAGAGACAGAAAAGGTGAGTGTGAGAGCAAGGGAAAGAGTGCAGTGAGAGTGAGAAAAGGAAAGAAAGATATATAAGAAGAGGTTGTAAGACAGTGGTACAAAAGGCGAAATATAAGATAAGAGAACAAGAAACAGAAGAC